ACCACTACAGTTGATGAAATTGGGGTGGTTGTGTGGTAATTGAAGGTGGAATTGGAGGGCTATTGACCGGTGTCAACGTCCGGCGGCTTGGGTGGCCGGAGGCTACCGAAATTTGGACGCATTTGGGCTTAAAAAAAGGCAAAAAATCGTCACTTTTTTTGACTGATTTGCATTTTAAAAAAATTTAAGGAGCAGATTGTAATTTATTCTTTAATTTAATTTTATTTTCTTTTTTTAAAAAATTTATATAGGAGGGTATAATGGTCATTTTTTGTTAAAAATTTGTAAAAAGGACGTTCAGTGTAAAAAATGTGGAAGGTATGGACGTTTTCTACAAAAACCTTCAAAGGTAGGGACGTTTTGCTCCAATTATCTAAAAATATTTTATTAGAAAAAATTTCTTCGTAACTTTTATGACTCGAGCAATTAAGTTTGCAAGTGTCTTTTAAACCTGATGCCCTATGGTCATTTGAGTTGGGAGTCATCAGCCGAAAGCTTGTTACACGGGTCATTTAGAAAGTTTAAGGGATAGAATGCTTCAAATAAAGAAAAAATTATTCATATAAAAAAAATTTAGAAAAAGTAGGTGTATGAAACAGAAGACGCACTGAATGCTTGGTTAAGTTTCGAACACCTGTTTAAGAAAATTCGACTTTTGATAAGAGATTGTTAGCATAATTAAGTTCTAGAGATTGAAACAATCAAATTTAATGGAGAATCCTTGTTTATTGAAATGTTGAACTGCAATTGGTGAAAGTTTGCACAGAGGTGAGGATAGTAAAAAAAATCCAATCTTAGTTCACTGGAAAATAGTGAAAAAAATAAGTTTGGGGGTGTGTGAATCTTACGAGTGATGAAAGAACATATTTGACCATTGATGGTCGAGAATTGAAACAACTTATGAATTCATAATAATATGCTTAATTCTTTACACACACGTCGATTTTACATTGGAAAAGTGGATTTTAATTTTTGTATTGTGATTTTGAAGTTGTGCATATATTTTTTATTATGAGTTCAATTCCGAGATAAAAAGTCAGGTTAGCTTGCTAAATCTTGTTGCTTTACTTAATTGACTGACCACCAATTAGGTAATTAGCATTGATTGTTTGTGTGTTTGTTACGTTTTAATTTTGTTTGAGGGCAAACAAAGATTCAAATTTGGGGGTGTGATAAGTGTAGTTTATACACTTATTCGTGGTCCTCAATCATGATATTTTATTATTTTTGGATTAAATTCGACATAATCTATGTTATATTGTATTTTGTAGGTAAAACTTTATGTTTAATGAAGAATTTGAGAAAATAATGTAAAAGTGACGAAACATGGCAAAATTCAAAGATGAAACTTTGGAGAGAAATGTTACATTAAATGAGTTCGAGTTAAATGAGTTTCAATAGAATTGTATTGAAAATTTTAATTGGAAGTCCAAATTATATATATATATATACACACACACACATAAAAAAAAAAAAAGAAAAAGGGAAGGAGATGGACAGACAACAGAAACAGAAAGAAAAAAAGAACAAAGAAAAGAGAGAGAAGAGAAAGGAAAACAGAGAAAGACACACGCAGAGTAGAGAAAGAGAAAGAAAAGAAGAAAAAAAGAAGAAGAAAGGAAACTGCAAACACCAGAAATTTTTACGTTTCGTCAATCTTTGGTGATATCTTTTCAATTTTACGCGTTTTTATTTTTACATTATGAATAACTAATTTTTATATTAGGAAAACAATGTAGTCGACTTGTGATACTTTATTTTTTTTATTCAAGATTTCTGTAATTTATTTATTTATACGTTGATTTTATTATGAGTTCAATACATTAAATTACATGATCAATAAGTTGATGATTATGTGAGTTTCTTACGAATCGAGAGGTGAGTTTGAGATTTAGACCATATAATAAAATTCAATAAATTAGTATAACGTGTAGAGATACCTTTACTAATTATTGAGATCATAATATGAATTCTTAAAACTAGTATTTTGTTTAATTAAAATTGATTCGCATAAAAATATAAAATTTTATTAGTTAAATAGGCTCATTGGTAACTCGAGATTGGTAAATTGAATATAATAGAAGAATTCAATCGAATACTACATGAAGTTATGAATATTGAATTAAGAATNAAATTGAATACAGTAGAAGAATTCGATTGAACACTACATTAGATTATGATTCTTGAATTAAAAATAAATGTTATCTATAGATGAAATTGTTATTCCCTAATATTCATCACATATTTGAATTTTCAATTATACATTGTTTGCAATCATTTTATATTTTCAATTAGTTAAAAATAGTTGGGAAAAAAAAATAATTACAATCATAATAAATATTTACTTGCTTTTGTGAAATAGGTGTTAGAAAAATTATATTGTCTTAAAGTATAGTCTGTAGTCATCATGAGAACGATAATTCGAACTCAAAAACCCATTATATTACTTGTTACGATATCATACACTTGCGATATAAAAAACACAACAAATTTCATCCCTAATTTTTTCAATGCACATACTAAAATTGAACAATTAATAGGGTTAATAGCTCAGACCTATCCATAAGCTCTTCACCTTAGCTCCTGGAAGGCACATCCTGTGATTTACCTCCTCCACAATGGTCCAGGACAGGGTCGGTGGGGGCCCTCAAGGTTGGGGTTCAACCTTTAAAATTGAACAATTAATTGTTGAAGATATTAAATTTTGAAGTCAATGCATGTATATTAATGTTTCATCTTTAATGTATGTATGTGTGCCTTTTTGAGTGCTTACTGATTAAATTTTAAAATGTCATCACATTCAATGGTTTTTTTTCTTTCTTTAATTTCCTACATACATTATGATAAAATATATACATGTTATAAAAATATAAAATACTCTATAAATTGATAAATTTTCATTTATTGATAAATCCTTCCAAGGCTGCGAGTGCAATTTCCTCTAAATATAATGTTACCTTCATAAATTGGAGAGGCAAGGTTAGGTGTTTCATTCAATTAGATTTGTCAAAAATTTTAAAAAAGAAAAAAAATAAAAAAAGGGTTTGTTGATATGTCGTTGCAAAGTTTGAGAGGGAGAGAGGGAGAGAGACTATTGCATTATGTAGCACTTGCAATCAATTTTTATTCAATTTCTGTACAAAATAAGATAATTCCTTCGGAAAAGTCTATAAAAAAAGTCATATTGACTTTCACTCTTTTTCCAACAAGATTTTTCTTAAAAAAATTTATTTTCAAGGCGGGTTTAAAATTAACCAACGGAATTAAAAGGAATTTTCCATCAGTTGACTTTTCTCTCTTTCTTCCGTCGAGAAACGAGTCGACTCATTTGACTAGTTCTTTCTTTCTCTCTTTCTTAGCCATTAAATTCCTCATTTTCCTTTCAAAATACAATTCATCTTTTCACTTTTCATCGTTAGATCAGATCCACAAAATGAATGATCTCTTTTCAGGATCCTTCTCTCGTCACCGTGGCCAAGATCCAAATTCCCACACCATCCAAATGACAAACTCACCTAATTCCACAGGCGGTGTGAATCTCGACAAGTTTTTCCAAGACGTCGAGGCCATCAAGGACGAGCTCCGTGACCTGGAGACGCTCTACAGCCAACTCCAGGCCGCACACGAGCAGAGCAAAGTCCTCCACAATGCCAAAGCTGTAAAAGACCTTCGAGCAAAAATGGATAACGACATCGCCATATCGTTGAAAAAGGCGAAGGTGATCAAGGTCCGATTGGAGGGATTAGACAGGTCCAACGCTGCTAACCGCAGCATCCAGGGCTGTGGCCCGGGGAGCTCGTCCGACCGGACCAGGACCTCAGTCGTCAACGGCCTGAGGAAAAAACTTCAGGACATAATGAACCGATTCAATGAGCTGAGGCAGAAAATGAACTCCGAGTACCGGGAAACCGTCCAGAGAAGATACTACACAGTGACAGGGGAAAACCCTGATGAGAAAATCTTAGACAATCTGATCGAAACGGGGGAAAGCGAAACTTTCTTGCAGAAAGCAATACAGGAACAGGGCAGAGGGCAAGTAATGGACACTATAATGGAGATTCAAGAAAGGCATGACGCAGTAAAGGAAATGGAGAAGAATCTGAAGGAATTGCATCAGGTTTTTATGGACATGGCTGTATTGGTGCAGAGCCAAGGGGAACAATTGGATGATATTGAGAGTCAGGTCCACAGGGCAAATTCTTTTGTTAGAGGAGGCACTCATCAGCTGGAGGTGGCAAGGAAACACCAGAAGAATTCTAGGAAATGGGCTTGTTT